CTCACAAATGTATTGGGCATACAAACACTCTCTGTCATGAATCCTGCTATTTCTAACATATGAGAGGTTAAGAAACGAAACTTTCCATCTCCTCCGGTTTCTTTCTCCTGTCTTTCAATTAGAAAGGCTTTCAAATCCACCAGTGCAAAACTTTTCTTGGAACATTTTGCAATATCCAGGCATTTTATTGCCGTTCATTACTTCAGAATAGATAGCCAGACCCTCAACTCATTTAAACTGGTAAGGTAACATTTAAGCCAATGAAACTATGCCAAGTCACATCAGTCAAGAATTTAATCTAGCTCATTTTACTATTAACAGGCACTAGGAACAGCAATATTGTATGATTTTGTGTTTTATAATCTCTTCCTGCTGCAAAACAAAACCTCCTGAGAACAGTATCTACTGTAGCTGTAACACCATTATTCATTCATTTTTATCTACCAGGATTGTATAAAGGGGTCTTAAAGACGTAGCTAATACCTATCCAGAGTATAAGCTCCAGGCAACAGTATTTTTTGAGGCCCTACTAAATTCTTTTCAAATTTACATTATGTTTATGGGACATGTTTACACTTGTCTTTTCTTAAGGTGGCCGACTCTCTCTCCCAAGCAAAGGAAAAATGAGCAGCCATTACTAAAAGATGACAGATAAAATTTTAAATATTTCAAAAAAACTTTCAAGTTTTGTTCTTTTCTAACCATAATTACTATCCTTCTCTTGGGAAGGATGGCTTTTCAAGCAGCACCTCTCAGCTTCTGATGGTCCATGGGCAGAAATCCTGGGCAAAAATCATGCTGTGCTGCCACCACACTTGACTCTCCCTTTTGACTTCTGCTCTGATTATTTTAATTCACCGTATCTGCAAGTACCATGGATACTTGAATCCTAGCTTATGTCTGCTCTCCCCTTCTTTTATGTGTATGTAAGTGTGAAATCTCAAAGGCACGATCTGAAGTTGGAATCAGAGAGAGTATTTTGACTTATATCTTTCAAACAGAAAGATCTGAATTTCTCTATGTATTGTTAGGTTGCTAGGGGCTGAATTCACATAAAAGACTTACTTAAAAATTCCTTTGGATGTGTTACAGAGGAGTCACCACTTTTGAAAGTTTGTTCAGAGAGTCAAAATAAGGCACCCACAAGCTACAGGGTTTTACTCATACTATGATCCTATGACATCAAAACAGTAACATGTTGTAAGAAGTAGTAATAATGAAATAATGAAACTATATTTTACTGTTGTCTCTAGCCTTGTTTCACAGTTACTTCAATTAAGTTCACAGTTAAGCGTCTTCCTAAACTTAGGGCAATTCCTGAACAGGAGGGACAGGTATAAACATAATAGGCATACCTGTACTGTTGCTATGATTATTTATGCTCTATGGTGGTATCTACGGACCTCCATCAAGGTTCTGGAAGCGGCTGCACTAGCACTGTTCAAAGATATAACATGATAAGGTGATATCTGTCTTTCCATGCTATGTACCTTGCAATTGCCCTCTTTAACGGATGTGGAAGAGATCCTCTAGCGTGAAAGCAAGAGACTGGAGGTCTCTAATGAACTAGAATTCAGTTTGCACAGGAACCCCCATCCTTCCTTCCAAGGGACCAAATAGGTGATAATCCAATTTATTTACCCATAAAAAAATCTCAATAACACAGAAATCCTGCTGTTTTGAAGTGCATCGCCACAGAGATCAGATTATAATGACTCTGTCTGCTCTGCACAGTGCTCTTGCTATGTCAACCCAACCAAAAACGCGCCTTATACGGCCAAGGAAGCTATTCTTAGATCTGAAATAGTGCTCTTGCTATATCAACCCAACCAAAAACGCGCCTTATACAGCTAAGGAAGCTATTTTTAGATCTGAAATTTTATCCGGGTTAGAACTGGATTAGTAACAGCACATTGCCTAACCTTTCAGGTGGAAGCTCCAGGCCATTGCAGAGTTCCCAGCTGGGAATCAAGCCCTCAGCAAAGCATGATGTTGTACAGTAAATGGTGGTTTCCTGGCTGTGAATATTTATATATTTATAGAAGGAAAGTATTAAAAGTTGAAATATCCTTACTTTCCTGGCAAAAGTGCCAAGTAATAGCTTCAGAAAGTAACCTACAAAGTACCAAAAAGAATGCAAACAACACTTTCTGTCCAGGAGGGAATATTTCCTCTCCTTTGGCAGGACTGGTAGACTCTAAGATACATTAAGATGTTTCTTAGTGCATCTGCTCATCCTTATGATGATGTTACGAATATAATATATAACATGAATACGTACTATTTTATACATACACATATGGCAAATATAATTTCCTAGCACCCCTTATATTTACTGTCATCTCATAGCACCAAAAGACTGGGAGTTAGGAAACACAGGTTTCCCCCCCCCTTTTTTTCCCCCCTCTTCTGGCCTGAATGTGTGACTTCAAAAAAGTTCTTTTGATGGCTCACTGCCTAAATTCCTCCAGCTGTAAAACCTCAACAATAATGCTTCAACTCATAAGCTTTCTGATGTTTTTGAGCTCTTTCAATGGAATACACTGCATACATGCATATATGCAATATTAGGACAGCAGATGGTATGCCAGTATCCCTCCCTGCCATCTCTTCCCCTCGCACCCCAAATCAGTACAACTTTCAGGCATTCCATAGGGATGTCAACATATCATGGTAAATTTTCAGTTTTGAGTGCACTAAGATAATTGTGTAGAAAAATGCATTTTTAGAGGACTTTGGAAAGGAATAAAGATGACTGATTTCTGAGTACCCATGTTTGGCATGAGGTGTGAAGAGGTCACACTGGATAGGTCAACACAACTTAGATTGACCAGAAATTCTCTCAGTGAAGAAAACTGGGGAAAACAGTAACATGCAGAAATGTGTAGTAAAGGCAAAAAAACAGGATATATCCAGAACTTTGAGAACATAAAAAAAAAAAACAGGAACAACTAAACTGTGTATTTCTAACTGGCAAACGGATGGAATGTGGGAATGCAATTGTTTGACACAAGAATGTATAAGTCTGTTCTACAAGAGAAACGAAAGGCAAAAGACCAGCTTGCATTCAGAAGTAGTACAGCTAGTACTGCACGGATTGGGGACAGAGTAGGTGTTATATAGGAAATGACCACAACCATGCTCCCTGACTGCTGATACCTGTTTCACCAAGCAACATGGGAGGGGAAAGTGGAAGCAGGCAGGAGAGGTAGGACGACATCTTGCTTAGCCCCCTATCTGTCCTTTTTCTGTCTTTGAACAGTCAAAGAGAGCTTATTATAGCCACTCAAAGTCTAGAAATCTCAGCTGAGACAGATCTAGGCTTTCATATTTTGTGGAGCTGTTGTCCTGCAAGCTCCTACTGACCATGCAACTTGTTAGAAGTGAAGTAGGTTGGAAACAGTGAAGATACAAAGTGATGAATATTTTAGACTGCCACTTAGAACAGCAGTAGCTACCTGTAATTCAGTAGTTCCACAGTGTGAGCTACCTAATTCCTGTTGCTGTTCCTGCCTTTTTCTGGAGCTAGACTGAAAAAATTTTGTATATTTGAGAATATCCTGATTTTGCATGATAAATCTTGGAGCTTCAAGCCCTTGATTGGCAGGAAAAAAAAATGGATGACAAATTCTTACGATGCAAACATATCCATTCACCCATAACCTCTCAGAATCGACAATCACAAATCACTTCATTGTTCTTCTGGAAAAGGTACCAAATGCAATTACATAATTGAGATGGAAAAATAAATGCAATATTAAGCGCCATCAGAACCTTTCACCAGTGCACTGACTTAGGTTCTCTTAAAGTAGTTACTTTATTGCTTATCCATGAAGTAAAAGCAATAAAATGATCACATGCAAGACCTTCCCATGAGCTCACTGAAGGAGAGGAGAAATCTTGTACAGAAGATTTTTAAGCAAATAACATTTGCTTAAGAGATCTGAAAAAACAAATGATCTGAAGAACAAATGTTCACCTGAGAGAGAGAAAATGTCAGTATTCACAGCTGTCAGTGATCTTAAAAGGTACATTGTTTACCTAGGTAAATAACTGCCTGGTAGAGGTTCTGCTTTTGTTTTGGCCGATAATTATTTACCCAGCCTGCAGCCATGCCTTTTCAAATCATGACACTCCACTGTATTAATATTTCAGTAAGTGTGCTCCTCTGGAAAATTTGCATTGCTTGGCCTGCAACTACACGTAATAGCTGTTACAGGTGCATAATCTGATACTAACACATCTTAAGTATTTATTTTCCATGAATCCATGTTAGAACCGGCATGTAATCACTGAGACAAAGAATCAGATTTATATTGTGACTTAGGTGTAACCTTAGCAAGGAACAGTATAGTATAAAAACTATTTCAGCCCCACAGCTACTTTGCCTTCAGAATGCTTTTTTTTTTTTTTTTTTAAAGACTGAATGGGAATGATCGTGCCAACATACAGGGAGCATAACTAAAACTAACTACTAGTATATACTAAATTACTGGACATTCCAATCTGCTTCAGGTACCCTGACCGTTAAGCAGGCAGAGCACAAAACAATTATCTATCCATTCTTTTTTCCCTTCAATCCTCTTGCTCACAGCAGTAAGCAAGCAGGTAGTTTTACAAGTTTAGGTTAAAAAAAAAAAAAAAAAGAGAGAGAGAAGAAGTCACTGAAGGGCTGGAAGGAATATTCTAATTCCACTTAGCCCTTTATACAGACAAAGTCACTATCTAAGGCTAATACAGTCAAATTTCTCACCAAAACAGCCATAGTATATCACCCAAGAATGATACACTATGAAATTTATCAAAATTAATAGCCTTGTCAAAATCATCACAGAAGTTCAGGCACAGTAATTTCTGATATATCTGTCTGCAGTCCTTGCAGATTTTCTTGAATGCTAGCCACAGCAGAGAGAATTATGAATCTAACTAAGAATCTTTCAGATGAGAGGAAAAAAAAAAGGGCCCTTTTATTGCTGGGTTTACATTTATGCCCAGCTTACCTCAAGTGAAGAGTTTTGCAGTTTCCCAGTTAGGGCTTCTTTCTCTTTCTCTAGTTGCTTTACTTCACTCTCAGATTTTTTTTTAAATTCCTCTAACTGTATCTGGAGCTCCTAAAGTTAAAAAAGAAAAGAAAAGGCAATAGCTGGGACAAAACATGGCGCGTGAAAGAAAAGAAATTTTCTTCTACATTAACCTAGATAACGAGAGTAGTTACACAATAATATATGCTACTGTTTCTTAACGTCACTCCTATATTATTTACCCAAAAATTATTTACAGTACTTTTCTAAGATTAGTGTTAGACCATATAGATAGTACAAGCCTGATCTTCCACTGAAAGCCTCCCTGAGGCAGAAGACTATAGAGCATGAAGAGTCAGACCGTTTTGCTGTTGGTGGTATTAGTGTTCAAAAATAGTTTAGCATGCAAGAGTCGCCCACAAGATCTGAAAAACATAGGTATAAATTGACCATACAAATATTATGAACTAATGGGTGATCAGTGGAAAAGTGAATTACAAGAAGTACTATCTTATAGCATCCATAAAGAGAATCCTAGGAAGGAAGTAAAAAAATAGTTATATTAAAGACTGTATTTGATCACCTTCTCCGTGGAAATAGTCTTTGAAAAAACAATGTTAACACCACTTGGAAGACAGAGACCAAGAACTTGCAGTGATGGTGGTTATACTGCTTTTGCTGTACAGATAAAGGACATGAGGGTCTAGGATTGTCAATTAAATGAATTTACAGTAAACAAAATCTGCAGTTGGGGTAGTGCTAGCTTTCTACTAATTTCATGGCTCCTTAAACAACTAAGTTGTGTATAAACAATTGTTACATGTCGTTGGACAGTGACAGGATGAGAGGCAGGAGACAATTTGCAGCACAGGATGTTCCAGGTACAGGAACACAGGACGTTAGGTACAAGGAAAAATGTTTTCACCATGAAGTTAGTCAAACGCTGGAGCAGGTTTCCCAGTGGGATCTCCGTTCTTGGAGATATTCACCACTTAACTGGACCTGAGCAACTTGATCCAAGAGGCCCTCCTCTGAGCAGGGGGTTGGACTGGATGACCTCCAGCTGTCCCTTCCAGCCTACATCATTCTATGATTCTATTCATTCTTCTCTCATTCCCAAGGAAAGTAGCCTGGGCAGGAAGATGTCCTCTTCAGATCTTTTTTAAACATGTTGTGTAAAAGAGAAGGCAAGGTCAAAATAAAAATGCCTTATACTTGGATTGGAGGGTAATCAGGCTTGTTCACAGACAAGCACCTGACAAAGCTCCATCTCTTGCGAAGAGGAGACTTATCCTTACTGAAGACAGTTCTATTGTGCCAGAGCAAATACATGAAAGACCATTGCTCTCATCCAATAGCTCTGTGCAGGCTTTTAGAGACCCTAAGCTCAAGCCCTGGAGCACTCTGGAGGCAAGGGTCTTGGGTTCAACATGAAAAACCAAGGGAAGGTATTTGCACAGTAGAGCACAGGACTGATGAGCTAACAGTAGCCCACACTACTGAGCAGACACTCTAGTGCTCAAATAATTGTACACCCAGTTATTTAAGAGTTATCTAAATCCCTGCACACTGAGAATATCTGTCTCATTGTACAGACATTTAGACAAAACATGCATAATTCTTTCCTGTAGAAAGACTTAAACGAGCAACTTCTAAAAATGTCCGAAGCGATTTGCATTGTAAGCTCATTAGTGTGCTTGCTCTTCCTATTTGTGTCAATTTGTTAACTGAAAAAAAAAAAATCTAGCATGCTTTCAGACACTACAAATGGAGAAAACAGAGGAAAATATACCAATTTGAACATTACATTTTATAGCATAATGACTTAAGAAGAATTCAAATTAACGGAAAAAGAATCTAAAAAGCTATTGAAGGCAAGTTACATTGCTGGAAGGATGGCATGATACTAGCAAACAGTTGTGCAGACAATAGTGACGTATTCCTTGCAATTTATAATTAAACAAAGGAAAATATATTAGCATTTTACAGTTTAGAAACAGGGTAATGGTTGGGTAGCAGTTAAAGGATGGAATCAAACACAGAGACATAAATGTTGCAAGAGAGAAATTAGCTTTACTTTTTCCTGTAAGAAAACAAGAGGATATAATGGTATTTGCAATTAAAACTAGAAAATCAGGTGTTTGCAGCACTCCCACTGCATCTCTAGCTCATCATCTAGCAATTGCATCTCCATAGCTCAATTTTTTCTATGGAAAATAGGTATAATAACTCTCAAACAGCTGCTATGGGACTTAATTGCAACAAAGGATATAAAAAGCACTAGGAAAGAAAAATACTGTTGTTTTATTTAAGCTTTACTAACTCAGCATTTTTCTTATTTACTTGAATGTTCCTCTGCGAATCCCCAAGAAAAAAAAGCTATAAGCAATAATATTTATTGCCTAGAAGCAATAAATGCCTACTATAAGGCCTTTTTTACAAAAAAAAAAAAAAAAAGCATCTGATATTCAAGTTTGATCTGATTCACATGAAGACGAGCTTCAACCTGGCACCGTTTTAAGTATACCTCATACAAACCTGTTCACATAAAAATACACAATGTATGTATGTACATGATGTAAATGAGTACATGTGTACATGATGTAAAATGAAGGGTCCTTTTCATAAGGCTTATATTTGATAGGGCAAGTGTGTGCCCTCAAGTACCACATCTTAACACAGTGAACAAACATGAGCGCTTTCATGATCAGATAAAATAATTTGCTCACACAGATTCCTTTTGAGAAACGGGATTGCATATAGTCATAAAAGCAGCTTCACAGACGAAAACGAATGCTTCTGAAGAACACCTTAACACAAGTCCTAGTCTCCAAAATCCAGAAGATACTATGAATATCAGCATTCAGTAATAGGAGCTGCATGCTTTTTATGACTGCACCACTTGTCAGCAACAGACCTGATTACTCTCAAATTGACGGTGAACTCCTAGCTATTGCATTAAAGCTGGGAAAAATTAGTAGAAGCACCCTCTTAGCAACAACAAGGATCTAAAGAACACTTGACCAGTAGTCTAACTGACCTACAAACTGCTCTAATCGAATATTTTTGTCTATAAGATGTCTAACAAGCACACAAGTACTTTAGGAGATAGAAGACTAAATTCTTCCTGTTCCTGCCCCAGTTTGGCAAACTGCTTAGGTATGCACTGAGGTGTGAGAGTCACTAAGTATTAAAGTATGTGCTTAAAATTAAGCACGTTTCAGGGTTTTCCTATATTTGAATGGATTTCAGCTCATATTTGGTTTCTCTACTGCACAGAGACACTACAGACTGCAAATTTCTTGAAGCCAAAGGATTCATGCCACTTGGCAAGAGAACCAAAATTACCCCAGACAGCAGTTCTCACAAAAGTTAAATTATTTGAAGAATCTCCATAGCCAATTGATGCCACTGCTGCTAAGGCATGGCAACAATAAAAGTTGAAGCTCAGACATTTGAAACATACTCAGATTGGGTATTGCACAGGCAACCTGTCTGAAACTACAAGAAGACAAACATTCTTCACAACTGAAGCTAAATATGGACCTATATACACATGTATTTATTTATAGTTTGTAACGAGTGGTCATTTTATTGGCAACACTTGCAGTCCAAATAAACTTACAAACATCTTGCAGAATTAGCTCCTCTGCCTAAATAACGCAAAATGTTGATTAATATTTTATGGAATTAACGGAAATTTAAGTCAGAAATTTGAGTATAACTACAATACATTACTGTTCAGGAGAAGCCTTATACCAACTGCTCCAAATGTTACGTGCAAGGCATGCAAGCATAATGTTGTTAAGAAGGCAGTTTATCACATCAAGGATAAATTCACCTTCCTGCCTGAGGAGCTTTTCACAGAAATAAATCAGCTTGACTTTTTCTTTCCTTCTTTTTTTTCCATTAAGAACACAGTGAGAAAATCCTTGCATTTTATGGTAATTCAAAGTGCCTCCAGGGAGGATAATTCAAATGATGTCACTGTGACCAATAAGATTAAAAACAGATGAATTACAGTATCTATTAATAGAAGAGCATTCTTACTTTCTGCATTTTTTTTCTACTAGCTTCCACGAAGGTTAATTTCCTTTGAATGTTTCACTACAAGGTCTTCCAACCCTTTTACCAGCTGCTCTTTCACATACATTTTCTCCTCATGGGACTGATGCTTGCTTTTGCAAAGTCCCTTGTGTCTTTTATTCAGATCCTGTTTTCGGTAGCTACAGCTTCCATAGGCGATAAAACATACTAGCTATATATTATATGAGAAAAGCAAGTTAGAATTCTGGGGTCTTACTAATCTGTTTTGCAGGGAATATGCTATTATAGGTGAGCACACTCCACTGAAAAATACTGGCTGTATTTGAGTTAACAGTGTGAAACTGTAATGATTCAGGGTTGTATGCCTCTTCTGTAGTCTAGCTTTTTGGGATTTTTTTTTGCTGTTTTGGTTCGGTTTTGGGTGTGTGACTCACTTCCAACCATGCAGGCTTCCTTAAGGACAACCTTACTTCTGTGAAAAGGTACAAAGCACAAATTTGTTTTTTATTAGGTCTTTGATGCCAGGTCTAATTTTCCAGAATACGAGCATAACAATCTTGTAGGAGAAAAAAAAAAATTATAGAAAAGAGTTCAGGCTGGACAATTGATTAAGGGGACATGCTATACAGAGGGACCTTTCAGGATACATACATTCCTCACTGTACAGAGTTTCTTCTTGGTATTATTTCTGCTGCGCTTTTCAGTAGACTAGAACTGTCTTCTGTGTTTAGGAAAAAAAAAAAAATCATGTCAACTTCACCCCAGCAGCAAAAGTCTGCGTTGGACGCTGACCTCTTAAAGGGCTTGGTTATAGAAGAATTTGAACACGCTCCCCTAGGCTAGCACAGCTGCACTTTAAGTATGTTCGTAGTTTTTTTTTTTTTGCTGTCATTGCATTCACGTACTTGAGCTTAAGAATGTAAGTCAATAGTCTACTGGATGAGGCCAGAGGTCTGTGAATCTTACAGGACTGACTTCTACAGAATGACCCAAAGGCAAAATAAAAATGACATTGATTTAGGACTCTTTGGCATGCCATACCTTCGAATGTTTGAGCGCAAAATACCTGTTTAAGCCCCCAGATGTCTCCACAGCCTCTCTTGCTTTGGCTCTGTTTGGTGCAAGTCATTTGCTGCATCTGTGTTATTTGACTCTTCAGTTCATCGACTTCATTCACAGCTTGGTTCTGGGAATTCAATATAGTTTCCATCTCTTCTGTTGTAGCAAAATTTACATTTCAAATAGTATAACTAACTTGTGGAATTTCTAGTATGAGTGACATGGGAAATATTTCAGAACAACGTGAACGACCACCTTACCTGCTTTTTGCAGGATTTTCTTCTCCTGAAGCATATTTCTGTCTTTGGCTACATTTAGCTCTTTCTCCATTTTTTTCATTATACATTTTGATCCCAGAATTAAGCTGTATTTCCAAATCCTAAAATATGCGTGGCCTTACTTTTACGTTTATGACTTACGTTCTTTTTCTTGTCTTCTGCAGTAAATGGTCATTTTCTCTCTCAGTACAGTTCCATGACATCAATCTCTCACCTAGAGAGCTAGTTTAAAAGAATCTTTTTCTTTCCTGTGCCTTTAAACTGTCCCTACCGCCACAATATCTGTAATGCAGAGCCATTCCCTCAGATGCAGCAGACTTCCCTGTAAAGTGAAGACTCAGCAAGAGTTACCATCTAAAAGATGTCTGAGATTATCCTAAACTTGGAGTAGGACATACCTGCATTAATTTCATGACAATCTGTGCTACGATGTAGTGAATATTTTTTTTCAAATTGCTGAAGTACAATACTTTTGTAACATAATGGAGATGCCTAAAAATATAGAAAAACAGCTCCTACTGACTTTGCTTGGAATTGTCTACCCATCACTAAAGGCAAAAATTTGGCCATTATTAATGTTCTGCTTTGGGGGCTCTAGTCTCAGTCTACAAGAGTCTAATAGAACACTGCAGTACTCACTCAGACAAAATTTCTATTTGTTCCTCCACGAATGTTATTTGAATAAAACCCCATGGGTCAAACCTAACTTCTATCTGACATTCTCTGTAACTGAAAACTTAAAGATAAGTTTTTTTTTTTTTTTTACCTCTGTCATATGCCAAAATTCTTCCAAAACTAGTCTGAGTGGATCAGACTTTTTGAAAATGGCTGTTTATATTCTCTGTTCCATAGTAATAGTAATACAAATAACAATAATAAATGTGCACTAATATGATGCCTTTCATCTAAAGGTCTCAAACCACTTGGCATATCTAAGGAAAAAAATAGAAAATTCATCTTGCTTAAGTACCAGTTCTTTTATCTTTCATGCATTTTAATAAGTTTTCTTGCTAGTGTTACTAATGACCAGAGATATTAGTGATTAAAGAAATGCTTCTCCTTCCCAGTTGGTCATTGTCCACAGGATTATGAAAAAATGTAATATTCAATGGTGGCATCAAAAGAAGAAACTTCTTTTTATTAATTGGAAAAACATAGAAAAATATCTATTTTTTTCCTTCCACGTTTAATCTAGTTTGAGAGCATCTCTTTAAAGATTCAAGGTAATATTTTCAGCTGATGTATAAATCAGCATCATTCCCCTGATTTTGAGAATCTAAATTTTACAACGGTTGAGCTTATGTCTGTCAGAAAAGATGATTTTATCTAGCTGATACTGAATTTAGAAAATGAATTTCTAAAGAGATCACCTTGTTATTTCCACTTCCTATTTTGTTTTAAATTATTTAATCCCCAAAGCATTGCATTTCTTACATGATAAAGCAGAAACAGTAAATCACCTGCATAAATTTCCATGTCCCTATTCTTTATTTCTCCTAAACATAACTGGAAGAACCCACAAGAAATCAGGATTTTACTTTTCCTTCTTCCCGTATATCGCTTCCATAGAACTGACACACTTTTCTTTATTGAAACACATTTTACGGATTTCCCCAAGTCAACAGAGAGGGTCTTACCTGCATCTCTGCCATTCATTATATCCTCTCCACTTCTCTGTAGAAAATGGAGATCTGTCTGCTACAGATCCGTGCAGTGAGTGAACGGAGCCTGGATGATGCTGGGGAAGGCGCATTCAGATCACCCTCTGCTGTCATGAAACTCACAAAGACGCAGTGACCCTATTGAAGGCTGAACTGTCTCAAAGAACATTCTCAAAGAAGATGTCTACAACTGTGCAACGTTATCAGAGCGATACTGTCAGGCAAGATGTGAGGGCAGATGGTGAAAAGGATCACAACTGTCTTGGAGGAACGCAGCTGCCTGGGGTGACCCTGGTCTCTACAGGATTTTGGAGTCCTCTGAGACGCTGAAGGGGATACATCTTCCTTCCCATTAGGAGACATTTCCGTCAATATTTTTTCCAAACTAATACGCAAGATAGCTGTCATACGGCTGGGGACAGGCCTAGTACATGAGTTTGTGTGATGGGAAGGACATACAGTATTAGAGAGACATGGAACTCTGCTGAGGATAGCGTATGGCCGGGTGCATCAGCTTCACCACAGCTTATCAGCGTCTCCCCCACTTCATGACCTTATGTACCAAACGCAGCTGGCTGGCAGATTGTCCATGATCTGCCAACTTCGGCAGCTGTGCCTGGCACTTGATGCAATTAAGCAGGAAGAGGCTGCAGGGCTGTGCTGCAAATGTATGAGATATACACCAGCTTGGGTAGACAGGCAAAGTGTGACGTAAGGACTGACTGAAAGTCTCATGATTCAGCACAGGAAACCTCACAGGTTTACAGGACGCTTTATTAAAAGTCACTTGGTACGAGCTATTGTTCTAAGAATCCTACAAGACAAAGCACTTGATTTCTAACCTACCAGCTCTCTGCCTGGTTTCTTACCTGACCCTGTTTACATCAATGCACTGAGTTGCTGACGCCCACAATGCAGAAGGAGGACGTACTCTGTACACACTCACTGCTAGCATTAGTGCCTGCTTGCTGTTCTCAGCTCTATGCAGAAAAAGTTACAGTTCTGTTCAGTCAACAGACAAGTTTTACCTCCCTCAGGGAAAAGAAAGTCTAGTGTTCAAAGAGTTCTCCTAATGAGTTACTTATCAGCTTAACTCTGTCTTTAAGAACTCCCCAGTGCTACATTCCTCCTTTTTCTCTTCTAAGTCTGTTGTTTTAGTTCTTACAAAGCGTTTGACTTGAGCATTTAAAAGAACCTCCTCCCTCTCTGCCACCACCCCCCTCCCCCCCCCCCCCCCGGCTGTATTCTCTCTTTCAGCTTCTGTGAGTGCTTCTTCCTCTCATTTACCTTCCAGGTTTTCTCCTCTAGGTCTGCCTCTAGCTTCTTTATCTGCTGCAGTAAAAAACTTTCCTGAGCCTCTAAGCTCTTCCTTTGCTCCAGTTCTCTTTGCTGACAGTTCAGCGTCTCTGCCACGGATTGCTGTATAGCCTTTTTTAAAGTCTCCTTTTCTCTCTCATAAGAGGCTTGCAGTTGGCTGGTTTTCTGTGTACACTCTTCAGTGACTTTCTGGTTCTCACTCTTCACGTTTTCCATCTCATTAATCTGAGCTTGTCCTTCCACACTGTATTTTTCATCTAAAATCTCTTTTCTATCTAAATTCTCTCTCCTACACGCTTTGCATTCATCTAACAGGCCCTCATGCTCCCGACTTAAATACAGAAGCTTGCTTTCAAAGGCTGCACTGGTATCTACCCTGTCAGTGGAAAGGATCATTCGTGCTTGTTTTACTTCTGTTTTCAGCTCTCTTTTATCTACCTGCTTCTTGAACAGTGTTAACTCTGCCAAGGCTTCTTCCTTCAGTCTCTTGTGTTGTTCTACTGCATCCTCAAGGACTTGAATATGCTCTCTGAGCAACTGTTCTTCTTCAGCTTTGCTTTTGTACTGGAGAACTGTTTCTCTTGTCTCAGCAAGAATGTGCCGAATTTCTTCCTCATGTGCCTCTTTCAGAGCCTGTATACTAGCCTCATATTCATCGTTCTTAGTGTTCAGAGCATATATCACCTGTAAATCAAGAAAAAGAATGGGAAATTACAGTATCTGATAACTGGTAGTGCTATGAATTCAGTTACTATATTTATCAAGGTATTAAATGCTTTACGAAGAGAATTATCAATACAGTTCAATATTTTTTTGCTGTTTGTTTTTTTCACTAGCAACATAAGGGACAATTAAAAATTGCAAAACCTTATAGGGAAGGAAGATGATATGGTGAGAAGCAGATTTTTTCAGATTTTGCAAGCAATTCCATTTTTTACTGCTGGCAAGTCATCACTTTATGCACCTGGTTTGATTTCTAATACAAGGAATGAAATGGGACTACTTCTAGCTAACAGACTCCATATTTGTAGCCTAGTTCTCTGTCTAAACTTCAGCGCAGTAGCACCATCTGCCACTCTGCCTTTAGCATTAGCAAGTACTGGGGATCAGTAGAGGCAGATCCATAGTGTGAAACCTGAGATCCTGAGGACCTAGCATCCAGCTCCTGTGGACCAAAAACACTCTGTGATGTGAATGAAAGCAAAGTTCATAAGGGGGATAAAATTGTGCACTCCTGACTGGAGGTAAAACACCACTGAAGATGCACCCTTAGAAACCATACGCCTGGCGAGTTTGTTATTGGGTCCGTACTTCAAGATAGCTGTTACTCCATTGAAAGCACCTTTCGGCTTGGTTCAGATAATGCTTTTTATCGCACTTCAGTAACGGCTACAAACCTTAGAAATTAGGCTTTAGTGGATTGAAGGAGAGCCTCTGATGACAGTAAGCAACTTTTTTAAACAATTAGTCTAAGCTTTTTGAAGCTTTATGTTGTTCTATAAAATGCAGAATGACAATTCTCAAGACTTTAAGAAAAATTATTACCTGAAGAACTCTTCAACCAATACTACTGTCCTCTCATGGAAGCTGTTGTACAAGCACTATTAAAAGCCCACAGTAGACTGAAATGAAGAGCTCACGGTCTAAACCGGTAATGAATGTTGAATTTACAAGGCAGATATATATATCTATAATTGCAAAAATAGGAGTTGCCTTGACATGGGGCCTAACTCAGTTTCTAGTAAGGTCAGTGAGTATTTGTTACTGTTCCTATGGAAATAGGATTAGTTTTTAAATTTGCAATTGATTGCTATATAAAATACTTCTTTCTTTATTTTTATTTCATGTTATTACTTATGTTCAAGCCATTCATACCATCCACCCTGGTAAGTGTTAAGCAGAACTTTGTGTATTCAGAAATCCCCTACGATGTTCTAAGCTATCTATCAGTGTACATATGGGCAGATTCATTAGCGTGACTAGATACAGGAAAGAATCAAGAGGAATTTGCTAGTGGGTAATTTTTTTCCAGATACCTGAAAATTAGTATTGAACTGTGCAACCACCAACAAACATGTATATAGCAGAAATTGATGTATAGCTGTTTACCATCCATTTTCTCCCCTTTCAGCCAACACTACGTCTCCCTTCAACTGACTGACTTCTGTATGAGTCATATTAATGCTTCCAGTTACATTTCCCATGGATTTTTGCTTTCTTTGCTCATTAGCAGCTTCCTTTTTGAATTACTCGGCTAAAAGATATGACTATAGTTGCTGATACAGGACACTAGCAGAAACAGAATTTTTCAGACCAGATCATTTCGGGTGTTTCTGCGTCCCCAATAATCTTTCCATTAATCGCATTCATACAAAATTGTGGTATGGAAAGACATAGGTATCTAACTAAAGAAGAACAACTTTTTTATTATTAATATATCCACGGAGGCTTTCCTCTGTTTATTTTTTTTTCCCCATATACAGCTTATTCCGCTACAAAACTAGGTCTAGAAATTATATACAAGTTATGACAGCTTTTATGAGTCTGGCCTGAGCCCATAGAGGTTAATGGAAAGAATCCTAGACAATATTTGAGAAAACAACAGTCTTAAAAACATAAATCTAGAAAGAAGATTATGGATAATTTTTTGATTTTACTAGAATTCAATCCTTCCTAAGGGAAGAGACCAATACGTCTAATACCGCACTTAAGCGTCACAAGTCTGGAGCCTGCGTTGTATACACCCTGAGGATGTCTTTGGAACTATTGAACTTGCTTAGCTACATCTAAGCATTTTTTGTGCTATTTATATATTGAGTAACATATTGAATTTCAGTCATCCATAAATAAAAGCAAACACACAAATACATCTTGCATAAAGTAAACTCCACTCCTTGCATACTCCTTGCAGTAATGAAATAAATATAGAAGCCTTAAAGAGTTCACAAATGAAAAACACACTCTGGATACACTTGTGGATAAATATGTGATGAAAGAGAATAATAGCATCATGTTCCAGAAGACAGGATAAACATGTGATGAAAGAGAGTAACAGCATCATGTTACAGAAGACAAACACAAGAAGTCATTGTCTGCCTTTAGATTTGTATATCCTTTGGACTCAGATTATATCTTGTTAATTCTCCTCTGTTGTTTTTAACCATTTTTCCTTTGAAACAGAAATAGTTGCGGGATACTAAGTAAATTCCTTCTCTCCAGAAGTGCTAACTAAAATCATTCTGCGAACCCCTTTTAACTATTCAGGCTATAAAAGCAGCCATAAAAACTACAAGGAGAAGGATTAATTTTGCCCACAGTTTTGGAATGACCAGTAATTAGTTCGGGTGACTCTTCAGTTAGCTGGGTCAGATACTGGCAACAATATGTGTTTGTTTCTTTCCATTAACAAAATGCAAATACATTATGAGAATACCAAGCTTTCATGATGCAAAAATTTCCACTCTTAATGATGAATTTATCTAATGCATTAGCACTGCCTGTCTTGTATTATGTTGTATTCAGTTTGACAGTGGAAATTCAGTTTGTCTAAAGTCTGAGTTCATTATAGACAGAAATTTCCCAAATTCCACTCAACATTAGACTGACCTGGAGACTTTCTACACCAATGGTTATCACTAAAATCTTAGGTGAGTTACCTAAGAGACTGGGAGAAACTGTCCTCCCTGCTCTATCAATTATTCATATACTTCCACAAAAACACAAGCTAAAGGAACCTATTTTCCTCTGAAGGAAAAGCTCAGCTCTGGTTGAAACATCTTTGTTTTCAAAAGCTGGATTTGTAGGGAGGAACATCAAAAATTTCTTTTGTGAGTCTTCAGATTGCGTATGCTACTACCATCCCATTCATGATAAAAATGCTACAAAGTGCAATTCTTTTGGTAAGAAATACACAGTTCAGGGCTCACTCATCCACTCACTATCCATTAAAATACCTTCAATCAACAAAATTACCTTGAATCAACACAGATCATAATGGTATTGGCTTTCACTTATAAAACACAATAAACATAACATATTTCAAGCATTCTACTGTCAGAAAGTTATTAAAAATATTTTGACAAAATTTCTCAGCCCTCAAACGTCTGTCTATCCATGCATAGGGGTGCATAGATGAGAGGCTAACAAAGTCAGAGATGCAGAGAGTTCAGGGCCAACTTATGGTCAGTAGAGTTTACAAGTTCAAAGTCAGAGCTGGGAACTCAGCTGCAGTTTATAGTCCTGGCCTCTCTCTGAAAACAGTATGTTTGCTTTTAAATCTAGAAACTAAAACTGGAATCTAATGAGCTCTGAGCATGCAAGTTCTACAGCGTGCCAGATCAGGTGTGCCAGCATCACGTTGCAAACGCAGGCTTCACACAGCCTTAGCTCAAGTCCAGGCAGCTCCATCAGCTCTCACTTGCGTTGCCCCAACAATCCAAGCTGGCTGCCCCAGAGCCGCTCCTTCGCTCTTCCTTGCATTCCTCAGCTCCTCGAGCTTCAAAAGAGCTGCGTAGCTTGTGTGCTGCACCGGAACGAATCCTAATTAGCGTACTAAAAAGGGATTCCGCTTCAGGATATTCTCCTTCAGTGCGTGACCAGCCTAAAACCTTTCATCTATTGCTTCAACAAAGTTAATAAACCCTTTCGGAGTCGAGGTGGGAAGAGCGACAGCACAGAAGCAGTCAATGGCCCTGTATGAATGGCCCTGTTTGTGTTTTGATCTGCTATAATACCTTTGGGGCAGAAGCTCACCCTGCAACGTCTCACCTTCCTTAACGTCCCAGCGTATCCAAATATCGGTGTTTTTCATTATCTAGGGAATCACAATGAAAGAGGGAAAGCTGATCTCATATTCTTAAAATTTGAACATATTCCCCTTTTTCCTACAAGTACCATGAATTACATTAAGTCATAAAATACATCAAGATACTAAAATGCATCAAGAAATTTTAAGCATAAAACGTCTATCGACTGATAATCTCTTCTGCCCTGTCTCTTGCCTCCTTTTGCCTCTTCTTTGTTTTTTGCCTTCTAATTTAAATTTTATACAAGCAAATCAGACATGTTTATTCCTTTCTATTTTTTCCTTTTGTCTTTTTCTATCTAGTACGGTGAATACTGAATATAGAAAACCTTAGCGTAGTGGATATAGATACTGCACATGATCTATTTGCAACTAAACATAAAATTAGCCCTGATTTAGATTTCACTAAAGAGGCACCCAGCTGTCCCTCATTTGTATTTGTACTAAGTAGACATGTCTCGCTGTAGACAAGCAGAATGAGCCTTTATAAAACAGTAGTTTGATCTGTTCTCTGGATTTTAATCAAGACTTACAGTTTTCTGTGATTCTCCTTATGATTCATTTTCAGCGTATCTTTTCTCTCTGTTCTCTTATATGTTTGGAAAAAGACAGGCTTTTTCCAAACTAAGTGCAATTTCTTTTGTTTTCAATATATATTCATTCTATTTTGTATTTCCATCTGTATTTCCATCTATATACTCATTGCCATCTATATTCTGTAAATGAATATTCTATATTCGTTTTACTTTCCATCTTATTTAGGTGTTTGTGATTCCCCCCCGAATTAATGTCATCTGTGAATTTTAATGTTGTTCATTTTTACTTCCACATCATTAATTAATATGTGAAATACGGCAAGCTCTAACCCAGATATTTGTAG